CTCTTATAGGACATTATTCCTTTTTTCTATTTTCGACTCTATTCATTAAATTCATTTGCAACTCTATTATTTTTTGTTTTGTTTTTGACACTATTCATTAAAGTGAGTTTCCACTCATCCTTTTTTCTACGGGAACGGGATAAGAAAGGGAAAAATAGTCACGCGAGCATGCGTAGTTTTACTTCGGACAAAGTAAAACTTATAATACGCATGCCCACGTGATTATTTTGCCTTTCCCTTTCCCGTTCCCGTAAAAAAACGGATGAGTGGAAATTCGCCTTTAAACTCATTTGCGACATAATTCCTTTTTTTATTTTTGACGCTATTCATTAATTCATTTGCGACATTATTCCTTATTCTGTTATTCGACACTCAATAACACTTAATTTATAACTTAGAAGAAATAATTTTGTTTCTAATAACAAGATCTACTATTAGCATCTGTGGTAGCCCAGCATTTTAGTAATCCCATTGGAAATTTGGTAAATAGGAATAATAAAAACTTTTCTAGATATACTAAAGTCAATATGAAAAACTTTTGAAGTCCCCAGATCTATTAAACCGGAATTGCACAATATGTGAAAAACATAATAAGTTAAATATACACAATACACAAAAAGCTGAAAATAATAATTCAACGGCCATTGCGCAGTGATTAGACCACTTGCTTTGGAAGTAAAAAATCCAGGGTTTAAAGTAGGGGTGCACCAATGCATCGGCATCGACAATTGCATCACCATCGGCCGATGTCGATTGTTTTGAGAACATAAGTTTTTTTTATTTTTGTGTTTCTATACTGTAAAATATAATTATATAAGTGCATATATAATTAAATAAATGCATATTTATATATACATATATATATATATATATATATATATATATATATATATATATATATATATATATATATATATATATATATATATATATATATATATATTAGGGTGGGGCATAAAACACCTAAGTCAATAAAAAAAATACCATAATAGTTTTTCTGGTTTCTTTTGATATCTGTATTAAAAATATATAATTTTTTTTTTATGGGTACTCCTATGGTCGGTCCCAGCAGTCCGAAATTTTGAAAATTTCTACTTTTTGTAAATAATAAGGGGGGCTGGGTCACTTACAAATGTTTCAAAGATATCTTTAAGGTTATTTTTGTAGCTTGATAAATTTTATTTAAGATTATATTTTGCTTTATTGCAAAAAATGAAATGAAATGGTCAGCCCTACCCATTTAAAGACTTGCTGGGTATATTTGGGAGTTAGGGGGGAGAGGTTCAGTTAAAAAAAATCCGTAATTTTTAAAATTTTCATTTAAGTGTAAATAAAAACATGTCAACAAGCAATGGTTACGGTAAAAAATCTCACCGTGAAGTTTTTCTTGTTGGAAAAAAAATCGGAACAATACCTATCACATAATTGCCAACTAAAAGAACTGTATTGCAATATTACCATTACAAAGATCTTATGCTAAGAGCTGATTTTCCAAACATTTTATCAGTTAGTATAGCTTCATGTCCACTTGGTGATTTCTTTACGGCACAATGTGCTGAAATAGGTGGTTGTCTCCAAAAATGTTTACCATGCGTCCTTTACGAGGTGAAGAAAATTTGGCAAAAGCAGGAATTCCATTTGTTAATACTGAAAAGCATATCAGGTTTTTATTATACTAAAATGCTTTTTAATTATTAGTTTAATCCAGAAAAAATCAAGTACAAGTACAACTGCCTGTAAAATAAAAGACAACTTTATTATATTGGCAAATGGTAAAAGTCTTACCGTGTATTTTGACTCCAAAATTATGGTAGAATTGAGAGAAATTGGTAAAGAAAAAGTTGAAAGATTAGCTGTGCTAATCAGTTCACCAGATCTTTCAGAATCCCAACTTTTGGGTATTTTAATTGTGAAAGATGGCACTGCTGAGTCTCTTGGAAAAGCAATCAAAAAAACTTTACAAGACTGGGAGCTATTTGACTATGTTGATTGTCTGTCCTTTAACACCACAGTCACAAATACTGGTTGGCAATTTTCTTTAAGAGTCTTTTCAATAAGAGTCTGTACTCTTATTGAACAGTGGAGAGGAAAAACTTTGATTTGGATGGCTTGTCGTCACCATGTCTACGAATTACATATAAAGATAAATATTGAAAAGAAGTCATAAAATATTTTTATATTTATTTATTTATTTAATATTTCTCGATGAATTTAATAACGATTCACCTTATTATTAAAATTTAGTTAAGTGATTTGAAATAAATATATTTTAGCACTTTTCAAGTGTTCTTACTGGAGGTAAAACAAGTGGACCAAAGACTGAGTTATTTGAAAGGCTAAAGTGTAATTGGAAATCAATTCTTGAAAAGAAGATAAATTATAATAACCTAAAAAGATTTGACTCAGAAAAAAAAATTAAATCTTTTTTGGAAAAGCAGGCTGGTTTAATTGTCCTAATTAGATTAATCTGTTTGATTATAAGTTTTAATAATAAACTTTCTTTATTTTTTATTTTAGGTTTCTGAATCATTAACATTCCTTCAAAATTGCCACGATAATGATATATTTCCAAGAAACGACTACAAGTATTTTATACAGTTAGCAGTGGCAAAGTAAAAGAATTTCAATTTAGATTTCCAATGGCTTCACATCATGCCAGGTTTATGGCACAGGGCGTTTATTATTTAACATACGACATTCTACAGCCACAATTCAGTAACTTATGTCCTGATATAATATCATTACAAGAGGGAAAGCTGATTAATGAAATTGGTTCATTTACAGCACTATTTTATGTTCCATGGTTTATTAAAGCTCCTATCCCTGCCATAGCACCTTCTTTAGATCTAAAAGCCATTAATGAAATGATACAATATTCTGAATTATGTCTTAAACCAGCAGAGGCCGTACTAAAGTCACTTGAAAAACACAATTGGAATTTAAATGAAAGATTTGTGGTTATGTGTCTTGCTGATAAATGCTTACCTGTAGATCAGCTACATAAATTAGCTCTTAAATTAGCTCAAACAGCAAAGCCTACCAGTTTTAAAATGGAAAAATTAAGTTCAGAAATTTTTACTGACAATGAAAAAAAAATAACAAAAAGAATTGAAGATTTTATTGGTCCTGAAAGCTGGTTTTTCTTTGATTTACTAAAAATGACATTACATGAGACAGAAAGTCTGAAAATCATCATCAAACTGGGAAACATGTTCAGGTTATATAAGATTTAAAAATTATATTACTGGTCTTCTTGTTGTAAATGACGGTGCAGAACGTGCAATTAAACTTGGTCAAGACTTTATTGAAACTTTCCGAAACGAAGAAGATAACCAAGCTAATTTACTGGTTGTTGCAGATCATCGTCTAAAATTTCAGACAACAGAAAAAAAATCTTGGTTGAAAGCTTTAAAATAACTTTTCTTTAAAAAATAAATACAAATGTGAAAAAAATTTTTATTTAAAAATGTTAGAAAAAAATTTTACTCCCCCCCCCCCCCACCTCCCAAATATACACAGCATGTCTTTAAATGGGTAGGGCTGACCATTTCATTTCATTTTTTGCAATAAAACAAAATATAATCTTAAATAATATTTATCAGGCTACAAAAATAACCTTAAAGATATCTTTGAAATATTTGTAAGTGACCCAGCCCCTCTCATTATTTACAAAAAGTAGAAATTTTCAAAATTTTGGACTGCTGGGACCGATCATAGGAGTACCCATAAAAAAGAAAAATTATATATTTTTAATACAGATATCAAAAGGAACCAGGAAAACTATTATGGTATTTTTTTTATTGACTTAGGTGTTTTATGCCCCACCCTAATATATATATATATATATATATATATATATATATATATATATATATATATATATATATATATATATATATATATATATATATATATATATATATATATATATATATATGTATATATATATATATATACATATATATATATATATATATATATATATATATATATATGTATATATATATATATATATATATATATATATATATACATATGTAAACATATATTTATGTATATATACATATATATATATATATATATATATATATATATATATATATATATATATATATATATATATATATATATATATATATATATATATATAATAGAGAGAGGCGCGGATCTAGCGTTTTTTGATGTTTGAGCTAACTTTCAGATATATTTACATTTATGTTAATTAAGGGTAATTTTCAAAAAACTGTAATGAAAAAACTGTAATGACTGAGGAAAAAAAACTCTTAAATTTTTGGTCACAACTTCCCCAAACAAGAGAGTTACAAGTTTCATTTGAGAGCAACAAGTTTGTAATAAAATATTTTTTTATCTAGAGCCGATAAAACAACGTGGAAGAGTGGGATAGCAGGGGGCACGTGTCCTCCCACTTTTTTTCTAAAGGAGCTTTTTTTTTTCTTTAAAGAAAATTTTAGATACAGAGGATTTTTTTAAAACTTGGCGATTGTGCCTCTCCACTTCTAAACGCGTGTCGTCGGCCCTGTTATCAATTTGTTGCTCTCAAATTTTATAAATTTATAATTTTTAAACACTTAGAGAATAGTTTACAAAGTTTATAATATATAATTTATAATATAATTTATTACTATTTATAAATATATATATATATATATATATATATATATATATATATATATATATATATATATATATATATATATATATATATATATATATATATATATATATATATATGCTAAAAATATATTTATTTTTACAATATTTCCAGAGAATATTAATATCCTCGTTATCAAGTATATTAAAAAAACTTTTTATTATTAAGTTTTATTTTTAACTTTACATTATTGTCATTTTGCTGCGCATACTTTATAATGCACGAGACTATTTAAAATTTAGAATAAAAATAGGATAACTTAAATGCCGTTGTAATGAAGCAAGAAAACCAATTACTGTAATAAAAAAGATTATTTTTATATGTATAGGATATGTTCCGAGACCAAATACAACTGACGAGTCAGGTGAAATGTATTTCGATGTATCTTCTAACTATGATATTGAAAAAATTATTGAAACAAACCTTCAGATTTTTTTAGATGTCACTTACAAAACTGTGCCTCTAAATAAGTTTAGATTAGAAGTTTTCAAGATAGTTGTTCCTAAGAAAAAGTATATACTACTAGACTCTAAAATAATAATGGCTTCAGTTTCTCAATGGCATGAATTTAATGTATTAGAAGCTTTGTTGAGTTGGGTTAAATATTCAGAAACAAATAATGGTATTCTGATAGTGTGTAAAAGTCTACAACAAGAAGCCATTCTTGTTGAAAACTGTGGTGTTGTTGGATTTAAAGGTAGTAAAGATTATCAGCCATTTCTTGTTTCATTTTACCAATCCAGTAAAAATGAGGAGTTTTTTGTTTTGAAGGCTCCTGACTTTGACTCAACGTCAAGACTTGCTCAACACCAATACTTTCTAGATAATAAGTTCAAAACTTCTACATCTGCAAGACTTCCAAAACGGTTTACGCGTGGTATAGAAGATAATGATTTTTTAAAAGCAGCTGCTACTCTGGCTGAAAAAAATAACTTCGTTCAAAGTAAGTTAATTTCAAAAAGATCTAAAAATAACAATATATCTGACTGTGGGAAACATCTTTTATATGTGTCATTTAAGGATATTGGGTGGTCAGACTGGATTATAGCACCCGATGGTTATATAACCAGTTACTGTGAAGGTGATTGTAGTTTTCCACTGGAGAGTAATTTAAATGCAACTAACCATGCAATCTTACAAGCACTAGTGCATACAATATTTCCAAAGAAAATTCCAAAACCTTGTTGTGCTCCAAATAAACTCAATGCAATGTCAATTTTATTCTTTGACGATCGTAATAATGTTGTTATGCAAGAAATACCAAACATGATTGTTCATCAATGTGGATGCCAGTAACTTAAAAATATACAAATGAGGAGTTTATTTTCAAAACGTGGTATGAGCAATTTTGTTTTTATGTGCCGCTTTAAATCTTATTTAGTTTAAAAAAAATAATAATTTAATCATGAAAATGCACTTAATTATACATTTTTTACTTTATTCATAATTAATAACTATTCCAGTAATTTTTTATACAGAACCGACGACACGGGTTTCGAAGTGGAGGGGCATTAACGTTAATTTCTAAAAAAATTCCTATTTGTATAGAAATTTCTAAAAAAAAAAAAAAAAAAGACTTTAAAAAAAAAGTAAGGGAGAGAGGTACCCCTAACCGCCCGGTGTCGTTGGACCTGTTTATATAACTATTTGTTGCTTTTTAAATTACTTATAATTTTTTTATTAAAGCTAGCACATAAAAATAAAATTGGTCATACCGCGTTTTGAAATTAAATTATTCGTTTTATTACCAAAAATAGTCTTTCTGAATAAAAATGCTTTTTTAAAAAGAATACGTTAAATCAGTTTGGAAAAAAATTCATTTGTAATAAAAATTAAAATAAAATAGTTAAAATAAATAAAGAAAAACAGAATGAAACAAAAAAAAAAACTATTCTTAAAAAAAAAAAAAAATAAAGCTCTTTACTTTAGACTTTAGTTAGTAACACTGAGTTTTTTATGGTTTTTATAAGTAGTTTTTTAAATTATTTTATGGTGTTTTTATACGTAGTTTTTTAAATTATTTTGTTTTTACTTAAGCGACTTGTCGCTTTAGTAAAAACAAAATAATTTAAAAAACTTTTGGTTAGGTTCTAGTCATCCATACAGGGCTGCCCGAAGGAGAAAGGCAACAGGGAAATATGTGCTTCGAGTGCTAAGATATTAGAAGCGCCAGAACATAACAAAAAATAAAATAATGAAGCGCTACAATATATTAAAAAAAACAACATATTTTTTATGTGGTTATGAACTCTCCATTGAGCCTTGTTGTAGCCGTATGGCAATCAATATCATGTACTAATATTTTTAATATTAAAATATATTTAAAATTTACATGATATTGATTTTAGTCATGTACCAATTTCAAAAATAAATATCGGTAGCAAGTACAATTTATGAAAGAATCTCATAAAAGTGATGCTATACAATGTTTTTTTGATATGTCTCTTCACAAGCTTTCAGATACCAGGTTGCCAAGTTTGATTGCTGTTATTAAACCAATTGCGAAACGACCGCGGAAAATTATTACTCTAGAAAAGCTCTTGATTTTACCGCTGCTATGCTAAGTTAGCCTTTAAGCTAAATTAAGTTAGCCTTTGATAAAGTTTTTAAAACTGTTCGAATCTGTTGCGATTCTGAGCTTTTGGTACGAAACTTTCAAAATTGTTAACGAAGTAAATTGTTTGTTTTGGCCAGTTTTATTAACAATCAATGAAAAAATTATTCTAATTCAATGGCTAATTATAAGTTTTGGCCTCAGTCCTCTTTGCATTCGCTTATCATAGATTGATATTTTCGTTAATGGAAAAGCTGTTGAAGGTCTTTTTGACTTTAAAAATGAACTTTTGACTAAACATAAGAAGAGAGCAAAACGAAATCAGGATGAACTTGCAAAGTTTTTTCCTATGAGAGCTCCGAGCAAAATTCAACACAAATATCATCAACGTTGCGCTTGACTATTTTATTCAACAAATTCAAGCAAAATTTGAAATTGACATTAAGATTCTCAATCATTTGCGTAAAAAATCAAGAACAAAACTTTTAAGAGATAAAACCTAGTAAATTGGCACAACTAAACGCTAATTATGTCAAAGAAGACAACTTTATGTAAGAAATTTTGTATAATAATTGTTTAAAGTAGTTTTCACTTTTCCTTCTGGAAGCTTCTTCATCCTACAACAAAATACACTCTCAGGGCTTCTATGGAATAAATGACCCTATAACAGTCTTTTTGGATCTCAAAATGCTATCAGTTAAAAATATATTGGCCGAGTTTCTATTAATGTGAGTTTCCACTCACCCGTTTTTTCACGGGAACGGGAAAGGGAAGGGATGTGAGCAATACGCATGCCCATATGATTATTTTTCCCTTCCCTTTCCCGTTCCCGTGAAAAAACAGATGAGTGGAAACTCACCTTTATATGATGACATAACAAATTTTGCCGTTAAAAAAAAATAACGAGAGTGTTTTAAAAGGCGGTTTTCTGTTATTTCCAAAGAGTATGTAATAAGAAGTTTATATTATTTTTGTGTTGCATATGTCGTTTCAAGATGCAGTTTATAACGTTTTGTGTTGCATATGTCGTTTCAAGATGCAATTCATAGCGTTTTGTGTTGCATATGTCGTTTCAAGATGCAGTTTATAACGTAAAAATGTTGCCGTAAAAATATTTTAAAAGAAATAAAATATGGTCATTAAAAAATTATTTTAAAAGCGTAGGGTAAATCACTCAGTGTTCGACGCTTTTTTTTGCATAGTTTTATATAAATAATAATTTTTTACTCGCTATTTCATAAATATTGATATCAATGTTTTATCGTATAAAAGGATAGTTGCTCTTAAAAATAAACTTTGAGTGAATGACATCCGAAAAAAAAAGAGGGGTTATAGCCCCCGAAATATCAAAATGTCGAACACTAGACGCCACCCTAAGTTCGACGGTTTTTTTTCTAGTATTCGACACTTAAAAAAAACACGAAAAAGTATTATTTTTATAATTTACAACGTAAAATATAAAAAAAAAAAGTTCTCAAGGAGTTCTCAAAGAATAAATGTTTATAGTGTTATTAAATGTGTTTATATTCTTCTAAATCATTTGATGAACGAATTAACGGTTGCAACCTGAATTCGTTAATGATTGTGCAAATAGAACTTTACAAAAGATAAAAAATTCCAAACTTTACGAACTTTAAAAAGACCTTGGGAAATTGTTGTTTAACAACCGTAACAATCCAAAAAGTAATATTTTTTATAGTAAATCTCTAAAAATCCTAGTAAACAAACAAAAATAAAATTTCCGTCGATGACTAGAATGCGGTCTTGTCGAAGACTGGAAAAAAAATTTAATAACTTATAGAAGTGTTAGTTTCAAACATAAATCTCTGACCAAAATTACATAAAATATGTGGCTCTTATTTTACCCTTCTTATATTACCCTTTCTTCTTATATTACCCTTTCTTCTTATATTATTCTTATATTACCCTTATTATACGATAAAATAATAAAATAATAATTTTTTTTAATTTTTTATCGAATACTAGAAAACATAATAAATTGCTTTCAATCTTCGACACCGTTTTTACCCCCCACTTCCCTTACAATTTTTTGATTTTAAATGATTGTACATTTATCTCATCTATTTCAGTCAGCATGAACAAAACGTCAAAATGAACAAAACGTCGAAAACGGGAAGGAGTGTCGACCGCTGGGTGAATTACCCTACGCAAAGTAAAGCATACATAGGCATAACTGTATTTGCTTTAAATTTAAATTCTTTCTAAACCACGCACGCTGAAAAAGACAAAGTAATTTGTGCTGTGTTTTTTTTTTAGATAGCACGCATAAATATTAATAGTTAAATACTGTTTTGGAAAAAAAAAAACATGTAAAAAACTAGTAATAGGTCTACTAGACTTTCAGGGATTAATGCAAAAGATTTGTTATTCAAGAAAAAAATGATATTTAACTCCTCAGTGGCGCATGTTTCCAGACACGCAACTAAAGCACGCCAAGTTTTTATCATGATGTTTAGAAAAAAAACTATTTCCAGTTTTAGGGCTAAACTAATTCGTGCGTTAACCTTAATAGTTTATCATCTAATTAATAATACTGAACTTAATAGTGTTAGTAGTATTGGCATTTCGAGCCTTTTTGACACATAATTCTTGGCAGCCACCGAGGTAATGGCGAGAAAGAGTTGCAGCCGCTATGTCTATAATTAGTATTTTTGTAGTTAATCTACCAATTGTTAGTTGATGATGCTGTTGTAGTTTACTTTTTTTTGTAAATAAAACTTTTTATATATTTTGTTTTATTATTATGTATAAATAAATTGATTTACATTTAATACATGTGGTATATTTTTTCTTTTTCGAAAAAACTTAGTTACATAAAATTAACTAATTAGATAAGTCGATTAGTAGAATGCCAAGAACATATATGGCGGTTATTGTTGCTAGGGGTGATTAATAGACAAGTAAATTATAAACTAATAAGGGTTTTTTTAAAAATTATAAACTAATCAGGGTAATTTTATTTGTAAACCAAATAAATAGGAAGATAGATATTGTATTCAGTAAACAAAAAGGAAGATAGATGTTGTTTTCAATAAATAAGAAGAAAGATATTGTTTTCAATTTTTCTTCCAACTTTGATATCTTATATCAAAAAATATGACCATTCAAATAATTATGGACGGTAGTGTATTAACCTTTTTTTGAACCACAACCGTATTGAACCAAAACCGTATTTTATCTATGTAAACGAAAGTCTACGCAAATATCTATATAGGTAAACTTCAAGCTCTTAAATTAGCAATGAGTATTATTATAAAGTAGACTACATCAAATTTTACAGACTTACATTTACCTAAAAATTTCATTGCAGCACTATCTATTTTTTTAAAGTATTTATATGCCATTTAATAAATTTTAATAAGTTTTCCGTTTAATAAACAGTGTTAAAAGATTATACAGTATGCCATAGAGGTTGAAGTGCTCGCTTGGGTTCAAATTCTTTTGCTTACACAGTTTTTTTTTTTTAATTTTTTTCAATTTTTTAGAAAACAAAGGAAAATATTTTTAAAGGCCAATAGATATTATATGCATTACATATATTTATAAATATATCATATAACTATAACAAACCAAAGTGCTGTTATAGTATATATCTTATATCGCAACCCCCTCTCGGCAGTGCTGCCGAGAGGGGGGTTGCGAGGGACAGTTTGTCCCGGGCAGCAGATATCCAAGGGGCGCCAAATGAAATGCAGGTACCTAAAAAAAAAAAAGGTCCTTCATATATAATATAGGGAAAACTTGATAAATAAGAGCGCCAATCAGGATTACTGTCCCAGGCGGCCCGTAACAGCTCTCGGCGGCCCTGACCA